GGCAGTTCAATTACATTACATTGTTGCCGTCAGTTCTTACCGGTCGTATATATACAAGAATACCACATATCTAGTAACCTCCCGAGACTTCAGGAAGGGGCGTGAACGTTCGAGAATATGACGTGTTACTAGGGTCACGTGACCCCCGCTGTCGTAACAGTATTCAAAAATCTACAAAGAAGTGTTATCAAACTACACATCATATATTAGCGAGTAGAGTTGACTTAAACCTATAATTATAAGTTATATTTCACACGCACTTTGGAAATAAGACCACTATTTGAGATTAATGGACTAGTTAAGGTTTTATGTATGCGTGGGCTTAGGATTATTCTACAATAGATGTCTGTGACTTATTGGCGATACATTCGACATTAAACGTACAGAACACACTCCACTTGTTTTAACATAATATATTCAAAACAAGTTAAACGTATGTACAAAATAATCCCTTACACTATGGATACCACAATTGTATCTCAAACTCTAAATAGTTCTCTTTTTCTTGTCAAAAATCCACTTAGGCTGATTCAATTTCTTGAGAATCCAATTGACAAGACAAACACCTCCCAGTAACACAGCGGTATGTTTGCAAACTTACAACACTAGAAATCGGGTTTCGATACCCGTGGTAGGCAGAGCACTGATAGCCCATTGTGTAGCTTTGTGCTTAATTACAAACAAACAAAGATATATAGACAAAACAAACTATTTTTCTCTGCTCTTATCACAATAGTATCAGTGAATAATTTACTTACGCTACTCCGTGGGTTACCACAGTTGTATCCTAAACTACAAATAATTGTCTTCCTTTTGTCAAAGCCCACACAGACGTGTTCAATTAATTTACAACACCCTATGACAAGACAAATTATTCTCCTTATGTCTATTAAACAATGAAACTCACTTGAAAATATCGCCTGTTATGGCTTATCACTCACACGCCTGCTAACTTCATGTTTTCTTTCACTAACTAATTTTCTGACTGAACTGCACTTGACTTCACTTTACTTTTTACTTCTTGACTTGCGCTGGCAAGACATCTATATATATATATATATA